GACCTCTAAATTAGCATTGCAGAAAATAATTAAGAAAATCCTAGACAGAGACAGGGAGGTGCCAGTAGCAAAGAGTCCAAAATATACATCTAATTGGAGAATCATTAAACAAAAAGAAAAACTAAGGTAATCGCACTGAAAAATAAGCAATGACAGAACTCAATAAACACCTTATAATAATTCCTCTTGATGTCAGTGGTCTCAGTTCGCCAATCAAAAGACACAGACTGGTGGATTAGATTAAAAATACAACTGCAGGAGACACACATCCAAAAGGAAGTACAGAACTGAAAGTAAAAAGATGGAAAATGACTACTCAGCAAGTGCCACAAAACAAGCAGGAGCAGCTGTTTTATTTTCAGACACAACAGACTTTGAGCCAAAACTGATTAGAAGAGACAAAGATGGCCACTACATACTGGGAGAGGGAACAAGCCAATAGGAAAAGATAACAGTTACAAATATCCATGCACTAAGTATTCACACACCTAATTTCATAAAAGAGAACCTACTGGATTTAAAAGTACACATAGACACCAATGCAGTCATAGTGGTAGATTTTAATACTTCACACTCAAAGTAGAGAGGTCATTCAGACAACAAATCAAAAAAAAAAATGATTTAAACCAAAACACTGAACAAATGTATTTAACAGATATCTACAGTTTCATTAAACAACAATAGAACACACATTTTTCTCAACATCACATGGAACTTTTTCCAAAATAGATCATATCAGGCTGTAAAGCATATTTAAATAAATACAAAGGACTTGAAATAATCCCTTACATGCTATCAGATCATAGTGGAATAGAGCTAGAAATCAGCAGAAAAATAAGCCACAGAAACTACACAAACACATGAAGATTAATTAGTAGAATACTGAACAATTAATGGATCACAGAAGAGAACAGGAAAGAAATTTCAAAGTTTCTAGAGTCAAATGACAACGAAAGCACAACATACCAAAACCTATGAGGCGCAATAAAAGCCATTCTAAGAGGGAAAATCATACCTGTAAATGCACACATAAAAAGAATAGGGAACTCGGAAAAATAATAGTACATCTCAAGGTCCTAGAAAATAAGAACAATCCAAATATGAAACTAATAAAAAGAAAGAAATTATAAACTTTAGAGCAGAAGTTGATGAAATGGATACTAAACTAGACAAAGGAGCACTGAATAAAGAGTGGGTTCCTTGAAAGGATGTGAAAGGGATCTGGAGATGGGAGAGGAGGGAAGAGAAAGCAAAGTGAAAGGGATCAAGATGAGATATGTTTGTTCTAATTTCCCATGACGAATGTATTTACTATGTATTGCAAATATACACTGTTTTTAAATGAAAATAAATAAAATTCATGCTTTTCCTTATCACTTAAAAGAGTTGTTGATGCCTATAATAAGATCTTAAAATTCCTCTGTTACTTTATTGCTTTCTAAAGTATAACCTTCCAGAATGCTCTACTCCTATCTTTGTCACCATTTTCAGCACCTTGGACAGTGCTCCTTGCACTAGTAAGTGCTTACTCCATGAATTGAATTCATTGACTGGAAAGAGTAGGAATAAACAAATTTCCCATAAGACCATTGCTTCAAGAAGAGGTAGGAATTTGAAATATTTTTTAAAAGAATCATTGTATTCCACATATGAAAAATATGCATAAAAATGGGCTACAAGAAAACAGAATCTGCCATCCATGGTGATGCATGCCTGCAATTCCAGCACTGTGGATGCTGAGGTAGAAGGATTGCCAAGAGTTCTGTGCCAGCCTGGGCTATGTAAGTGAGCTCAAAGCAGGCCTGGACTACATAGGGAGATCCTGCTTGAAAAAAAGAAATAAAGAAAAAAGAAAACAAAATCTCCTTAAAGTTAGATTGTTCTCACCACTAAGCTCTAGATATTCACAATCTGGCTAATCACCTCTCTTCCCTGAGTCACTTGCTTGAGTCACTCACTACACAGACCCAGCCAGCTGGATCTCCCTGTGATGACGTCCTTGGGTCAGTTTCTGCTGCTCATTGAATCCCATACCACAATCAAGAACCTAAGAATTTCCCTATACTCAACTCAAAAAGTCCATTTTTATCAAGAAAAAAATCCATCCACCTCATGTGGAAAATGCCATTGTGAATCTGCCTTGCTGACACCGATGTGACTGGGATATAGTCATACACCAGCAGTGAAAATTCCCTTTTTAAGCCAGGAAAGAACCAGAGTCTGTGCCTAAGAGACAATAAGGGCATAAACGGTCACAGCTCAATACATTGTTAATAAAGGTACAATTACCCTTTTACTTCTTACCTGCTGGCCCTTTCTTCTTTATGACTTCCCTAGGTTCAAAAGCCTACCCCAGCTTAATCCAAGCCCTACCAGACACCATCTAAGAGAAGTTAAGAGTAGTTTAGTGGAATCCTCTTAAGTCCCAGATCTGCATTACTAACACTGTGACCTTTTTTGCAAATCACTGCACTTCTCTGAGAATCTCTCAGAAGCAGCAAAATAACATAATACAAGTACTTCCCTTATAAACTGTGAATTCATATACAGGCTGAGTGTCTCTGGAACCTTTCCCTTCACCTAATGATGTAAAATTTCTTTCCCTGCCCTTCTAAAACTCTATATGCAGCACATTGCCCTCAGTGTTCTCTAAGGTCCAATGTGATTTAATATTCAATCTCACATTACACTACTTTCTCCTTGAGGGCAAAGTCACCCTGCCTTCTTGGAGTCCGAGAGAGTACTTGGTCTGATGCCATATACATGACAAGTCCTCACTAGTTGTATAACTCAAACCATTTCCTCCTCTTCTCAGTAGGCATCAATTAAAGAAACTATAATTGATTAAGATAACCTCAGTCCCCACACTCAACCATCCTGTCCTTCTAGACCAGCCACACGTGGCCTCTTTTGCTGTTCCTCAAACACACTGGGACACAGAATTTACACTTCCTGGTTTTGCTTACTGGGTTCTCTTCCCACAGAAATCTCACAGGGCTCACTCTCTTGCTTCTTCTAGTCTTTGTTCAAAGGTCCTTTTTTCTGACTTCCCCGTTTAAAGTAAAAACTCTCCACTTTGTCTCTCTCTTTTCTTTATATCATTCTTTTTCTCTTCTTTATTGATTCATCCACTTCCAATGTACTACATATATTCCTTTTTATGTTGTTTAATGTCTATCTGCCCCCATCAGAAGGAAACTAGTGGAACTAGAATACTCCAGCACTCTTCCTTTAACACTACATTAAATATCTACTCCTGATACCCCAGGGCAGAAACTTTTTCCTGTTCAGTTCTCTACTCGCTAATAAGCACCAAAAATACACTTGGGACACAGTATGTGGTCAATAAGTGTATGTTAAGTATCTCTGAGCCTTACTTGGCCTGGCATCTTTCCACAGAACAAATTCTGTAAAGAAAAACATAATTTACCTTCTATATTTTTTAAAACCCTTTTCTTTCACTAGGCCAAAAGGTATTAAAAAGTTCATCTCCCCTCCTGGGCAAAGTGAGAGTTTCAATTGGCTTTTTATGCAGACTAGGAAAAATGTCTAACAAAAAAATGGAGCTCCAGTTTTTTTCACCAAGGAAGACAAAAATCAGTAGGAAAAGCCAGCCGAGTTTGACCTGAATCGCACAATTTGTTGCTGCAAGGTAGGAGTCCATGTCTCAGAAAGAAAAACAGCCTAGAAAATTAATAGATCCATGATTTCAGGAAAATTATCCCACCAAGAGCAAGTCCTGTTCAGAAATTAGTTCTCCCAGTTTTACCACCTGTTGAAAAGGACAAAAGACCAAAGGCTCAGACCGCACTGGACTGTGGCTTGCACTTGGTCTTGCTAAGTTTAAAGCAGTGTGCTATATGTATTTTTTCAGCCACAAAAGTGCCTTGCATTTGCAGCATGGTGCTTGTACGACCTTGGAGTTAGCCAAGATTTTACAAATTTCTCCTGCTACCCATGTCCCCAAGGTTCATGAGGTTGGATGTAGCCTACCTCAAAAGGACATCTTTATCCTTGTGATAACAGAGACTCTGATACCCAGTGACCTGCTCTAATTGATGTCTCCAAGGATGCTCCTTCACTCTGTCTGGAAGGTTGAAGGCTGAACATTTAATACAGTCCAGAAGAAGCAGAGCTGACGTGGGAGGGAGTTCATACTAGGCATATTCACTGCCTCATCGTTAGACCCTTGACAGCCTATGGGCTTTCCAGACCTCAGTTTCAGGGAGCACTTATTATTGTGCAAGGATAATATCAGATGGAGTAATATCAGATGAAGACAGAGCCAAAATTTAAGCTCAGATCTGCTGGGTTTTTTAACCCCTACACCGTGGTGCTTCCACTTTCATCTCTGTATTCTATCTCATGCTTCCCCTTCTAAAATTTTAGTTTCTCTTCTCTCAGACAAGGAAACTTTTTATTGAGTTACGTGGACAATTTTCACAAAAGCAACACATTTCCTCCTTTGATATTATCTAAAATAATCACAGTCACTATAGGTATGGTACTTCTGATTTTAAAAAGGCAAGCATAAACATTGTCTTTCCAAGATTCAATTTACACAAATTATATCTTAGATGAAGCAGGTCCAAGGAGGCATTGTATCTGGAGAAGAGTAAGACAGTGTAAGCGATGTAAGCATCACAGAACAGCCTGAGCACAGCTCAGAAAGCTTTAAAAATGAAATGCATTGGCAAAGGTTGGGGAGTGCAACCTTGAAACATTCTCCCCTGTTACAATGTTACTATTTTCATGTTTAATTAAAATCAGATAGTGTGCAATATAATCACCTGATAACATAATTCCCTCAAACATGGAAGAATAATATTCAAGTGACTGAAGCATGAACATAATTCACCTCAAGCAAGAGAGAGAGAAACTGTATTAGCAAAATGCCTCCAGATCTACTAATTAATTTGCTATATTATGCATGACAGGAAACAGCATAAAACAGAAAATATATACTGGATTTTTCTGAATTAGGGAAGTGGCGAAGGACATGCTTCTCCATAATTTATTTCAGCAATGGGTTCACTGTTTGATCAAGGATTAGTTAAGAGGGATTCTACAGGGTAGAAGCAGAGCACAGAATGAGATGGTAGAATCAGTGTACTTAGTCATTTAGCAGATGTCAAAATCACTCTGCTTCACACTTGCTATCTTCATTTAGAAAGCTCCCTTCTCCACAAAAGCACTCATCTGTGGCCTAGTCCCTGCAAACCCAAGAAATGCACAAATTAGCAGACATGTCCCCCTGGCCAATTCATCAGTACAAGTTGAAAGAATTTTCAACTTCATTATTTTTCCTTGCCTTTCATAAATTACTAGACATCTACTGAAAGCAGGCAAAATAATATCACATTCTTTTTTAATTGCATTAATTAATTTTAACTGAAACAGAAAAATTAATCTGTTGTATACATGTTTTAAAATATGTATACATTGTGGAATGACTAATCTAACATAGACATTACCTCATATAACTGTCATTTGTGATGAGAACACATAAAATCTACTTTCCTAGTCATTTTCAAGGATGCATTGTAATTACAATTGTTACTATATTGTGCAATAGATCTCCCAAATTTATTCCTCCTATGTGACTGAAGTTTTATCGCCCTTGACCTACATATTCCCAATAATAACCAGTCCCCAGCCTCTGGTAACCACCATTCTAGTATTTTTATTTGGTTGATTTGTTAGTTGCTTGGTTGGTTTTTGGTTTTGGTATTTTTGAAACAGGGTTTCACTATGTAGTGCAGGCTAGCCTTGAACTCACTGATGTACCCCCCCAGGTGGGCCTCAAATGCACAGTGATCCTCCTGCCTCAGCCTCCCAAGTGCTGGAATTATAGGTATGCACCATATCATTCTACTTTTTGCTCCTTTGAGTTCTACTTTTAGATTACACATAGAAGTAAGATTATGTGATTCTTGTCTTTCCATGCCTGGTATAAGCACCTCCAGGTTCATTAAGGTTATCACAAATGGCAGGATTTCCTTTATTTCTAAGGCTTAATAGTATCCTGTTGTATGTATATGCATTTTCTTGGTCCATTCATCTATTTATGGACATTTAGGGTGATTCATATCTTGGCTATGATAAATAATCCTGCAATGAACATGGGAGTACAGATATATTTTTGACATACTGATTTCATTTCCTTCATTTCTTTCTTTCATTTCTGATACCCTTTAGTGAGATTGCTGGATCACAAGGTAGTTCTGTTTTTGAGTAATCTCAATATGGTTTTCCATGTGGCTGCAACTAATTTACACACCTACCAAGGGTGTGCAAGACTTTCAATTCCTCCACAGCCTCATCGGCACTTTTTATTGTTTCTGTTCTTTCTCATTAGCCCTTACAACATGTACTGTCAAGTTCTTATTATCTTACCATAAGGGGACAGACCCTCACAACTTTAAAATTTTAATTACATCCTTCAACCTACAGATCAATAATAATTGGGATTAATATCACTAATGTACATTTTCAAATTATTTATCTGTAGCCTTTTCACATAGTGATTAAGATTTTAAACCCTGAATTAGCAGTGAGCTAAAATCTTGGCTCTGCCCCTACATGACTTGATTAGGTCTCTCTGAGCCTTGACTTCCTTACCTCGATCCTGGAGGGTGATTATATCCACCACAGCAATGAGTTGATACTTGTCAACAGTTTGTTGAATGACTGGTCACCTTGTCAGTCTGCCAAATCACTGCTTCGGTGCTGTGTTGAGACCTAAGTGAAGGGTTAGTCAGCTGGATACAACACAGCTCTGGGGGATTCACTATCCCTATCATGCTAAGGACTGCAATAGAGTCTTTCCTTCTGTTTACCACAGAGGCCATACGGAAAATCTGCAGAAGATTTGGGTATAGTTGAAAGAAAGAGCATCAAAAGTAGCTATCATCTTGTTTTGAAATTCTGTATCATTTTATTGATTTTCTTCTCTCTTTAAAATAAATAAATAAATTCCAATAAGTAAGGTGGTATATTTTATCTAACTATATTCATAACAGCATTAAGTGTAAATGGTCTAAACATGCACATGAAAAGGCAAGAGATTAACAGATTAGACTTGAAAAAGCAAGATCCAACTATTGGAGGTCTACAAGGAACTCACTTTAAATATAAAAACACAGGCCAAGGATATAGCTCAGTGGTACAAGTACTTGCCTGGTAAGCACAAGGCCCTGAGTTTGATTCCCATTACCAAAAATAAATAAATAAATAAATAAATGTAGATAGATAGGTAGATAGATAGATAAACTAAAAGTAAAAGAATGAAAAAACATGGACCACACAAGCAATTTTTAAAACTATATATTAATTAAAATAATAGCTTTAAGTGACAAAAAAGCTGGAAGGGTTATACTAATATCAAAGCAGAAATCAGAACAGGCAATAGCAGAGAGATTTACATAATAATAAAAGAATCAATTCACCAAGGAGACTTGCCGACTCAAAATGTATATGTACATATAAAGGGCTTTAGAAGCTAAAGTTGTGGAATGTGGATAAAGCAGTATTTAGAGGGAACTCAATACCATTAAATTCTTATGCTGGAAAACAAGAAAGGTCTCAAGTCATAGCCTGTGCTTCCACATTGTAAAACCAGCAAAAAAAGAAAACAAATTAAACTCAAGGCAAGTAGAAGAAGAAAAAGAACAGATTAATAAAATTGAAAACAGAAATCACTAGAAATAATCAATAAAACCAAAAGTTGTTTCTTCTAAAAGATCAATAAATGTCATAAGCCCTTAGCCAGACTGATTAAGAAAAGAAAAAGAAGATATAAATTATCAACATCTGGGCCGGGCGTGGTGGCACACACCTGTATTCCCAGCACTTGGGAGGCTAAGGCAGGAGGATCTTTGCAAGTTCGAGGCCAGCCTGGGCTACAAAGTGAGCTCAAGGCCAGCCTGAACTGCATAGAGAGACCCTGTCTCCAAAAGACAGAAGAAAAAAAAAAAGAAATAAATTATCAACATCTGGGATTAAAGCAGTGATACCACTACAGATATTGTAAACATTAAGATAATAACAAGAGGAAATTATCAATATCTTTATGCCAATAAATTCAACCACTTAGATGGGTTGGGTACACTCTTTGAAAAATATAAGCTTCTGAAATCTCAAGAAATAACAGAAGATTAATACACAAAACTGATTGTATCCTATATACCAGCAATGATCAATCTGAAAACAAAGTTAAGAAAATTCCATTTAAAAGAGCATCAAGGGGCTGGGGATTTAGCTCAGCAGCACAGCACCTGCCTGGCAAGTGCAAGGTCGTGAGTTCAGTTCCCGGTACCGGAAAATAACCAAAAAAATAAAAAAATAAAAAATAAAAGAGCATCAAAAAGAATACAATACTTAGAAATACATTTGACAAAAGAAATGCAAAACTTATACACTGAAAAACTATTTTAAATGCTGACAGAAACATAAAAGGAGCTAACACACAAACAGTCCATGATTGTGTATTTAAAGATTATGGATTATTAAGAGAGTAATTCTTTCCATATGGGTCTACAGAACACCATTCCTATCAGAATCCCACAGTCTTTTTTCTAGAAGGCTGACATTAAAATGTGTACAAGCATGTTGGTACATACATGTAATCTAGAAGGCTGAGGCAGAAAGATTTCAAGTTCAAGGTAACCCTGGGTGAATTAGTAAGACCCTGTCTCAAAATAAAACATAAAAGGGCTAAAAATGTAGTTCAAGGAGAAAGGCCTGGGTTCATCACACTCCCTTACCACCACCACCAGTACAAGAAAAAATAATGTATAAAAAACCAAAGGACCCAGAATAACCAACACAATTTTGAAAAAAAAATTGGATGACCTGCATTTCCTGATTTCAAATTTTATAAACATTAACAGTACCACTAAAAGTCATGAAATACCTAGAAAAAAATATGTAAGTTCTGTATACTAAAACTACAAACCCTGACAAAGAAATCAAAGATGACCTAAATAAATGAAAGTATTAACTGTGTTTATGCATTGAAAGACTCAGCATTGTTGAGCTGCCAGGTCTCCCCAGGTATAAATTCAATGCAATTCCAATCAAATCTCGGTAAGATTTTTAAAATAGAAACCAACAATCTGGTTTTATAATTTGTATTGAAAGGCAAAGAAGTTAGAAAGGCAAAATGATTTTGAAAAAATGAACACAAGCAGAGAACCCATACTACTAGATCTCAAGACTTCATACAAAGCTACCGTAAATAAGTCTGTGTGATGCTGGTGAAGGGATAACCACAAAGATCAACCGAACAGAATAGAGGATCCACAAATAAACCCACACATAGATATGGCCAACTTATTTTTAACAAAGGAGCAATAGCAATTCACTATTTATCAATTAATTATTAGACATCCATATGCAAACTAAGAAACTTAGCCCATATACTACATAATCTGTAACAATTACCTCAAAATGTATCATAGAACTAAACATTAATGCACAGTTATTAAACATTTTTAGAATGAAAGTCTCTGTAATCTTGGGTTAAGAAAAGATAATCTAAGTATGACACCAAAACCATAATCTATGAAGGAAGAAGTGATAAATTTGACTTGGTCAAATACACTGCTAAGAGAATGAAAGCCAACACACAGACTAAAATGAAATATATCCAAAATATATTCTGATATTTGGACTTATATCCAGAATGTATAAGGAATACCTAATAACAAGAAATACTCAACTCAATGAAAAATGTGCAAAAGATTTGCATAATCACTTTGCCAAAAAAAATGTGAATGGAAAATTAGCACCCCCTAAAGAAACTCAGCATAATTAGTTATTAATTAAAACCACAATGAGACATCACTAGTGACCTATGCAAATGGATTTTTCCTAAAAACTAACAATACCTCATGTTGGCAAGATGTAAAACAACCATAACATTCATACACTAAAAGTAGGAATACAAACTTGTACAGGCACTTTGGAAAGAATTTTGGTAGTGCCTTATAAAGTTTAGAATATATTTACCACATGATGCAGCAACCTCACTCCAAGAACTCATTAAAGGACATAAAAATGTAGGTTTTTTCAAAATTATACACGCAAATCTTTAGGTAACTTTTTCATAGTTATCTCAAATGTAGAAATAGCCTAAGTATCCTTCAGCTGATATAAGGATACACAAACTGTGGCATACCTATACAATGGACTACTACTCAGCAATAAACAAGAAAGAAATACTGACACATGAAGCAACTTACATAAATCACAAATGCTAAGCAAAAGAAAGCAACATGTTACGTGATTCCATTTAAATGACATTCTGGGGAAGGCAAACTAGAGACAAAAAACACATCAGTGGTCACCAGAGGTAGAGAGTAGAGAAAGTGGTTGACTATAAAAGCATATACTGTAAGACAGTTCTGGGGTATGCTTGAAATATTCTGTATTTTTTATAATGATACTGGAGATTGAACTCAAAGCCTTAGCACTGAGGTATGTCCCCAGCCCTTTAAAAAACAAAAGTTGGCTTGGTTTGGTTTGGTTTGGTTTGGTTTGGTTTGGTTTGGTTTGGTTTGGCTTGGTTTGGTTTGGTTTTTTTTGAGACAGGATCTTGCTACCAAGGTTACCTATGTGGACTCAAACTTGTGATCCTCCGACCTCAGCCTCCCAGAGTAACATTCTATACCTTGAAGGTTATAATGATTACATGGCTGCATGAATTTATCAACTTTCACAAAAGAACAAATTTGGAAGCCTAATACTTTATGGTTTCAAAATTTACTACCATTTACAATAGCACCAAGACATGAAATATTACATAGCTTTAAAAGAGTAAATTTTACTGTATGTGAATTATATCTCCATAAAAAGGTGAATTTTACTATAAGAAATTAGGCCTCAACTTTTTTTTGAAAAACAGGACATTCATTTCTCTTAAAAAGCAGTGTCTAGAACCACATTTGACCCACAACAAATGCTTCTATGCATTGTTGAATGGATACAGTCTATTACTAGAGCTAGCTCTTAATCATTGGAGTGGCTATGGTTTTTGTTTTGTTTTGTGGTTTTTGTCCTTCTGGCACCTTTTCACCCCTTTTAGGAGTAGATCCACCACTATACCACCATTTTCAGACCCATCCTGAGCATCTGACCCAAGTTTGGACAACCAGATTACTGTTCAGGATGTTCTCCAGTTAACACTGGTGACAAAGGCTCACAGCGTGTGTGCCAGATCAGCCTGAAACAATGCATCTTCCTGTGCAGAAAAGCTGGCTCAAAAGCCTAAAGTGGACAGGAGAAAAGAAGCAGAAATGAGAGCTATCATGAAACCTTGGACCTCCTTGTTCTGAGGCCAGATGCACTCTTACACTTTCACAGGTCCAGTTGCATGAATCAGCAAATATACGCCCCTTTTTCAGTAAAACTAGTTTCTACCATCTGCCACCAATGAGTTTTTAAATCTGAAATTACAAAAACAGTAATAATACTGACAGTCAACATTAATTAAATACTTATTCTCTGCCTGCCACATAAATCTACCTGACTTATCCTCCCTACATAACTTTGAGGTAGATGTTCCTTTTATCTAAATTGTTTTAGACAAAAAACTGAGGCAATTTTAAAAGGTCAAGTAATTTGCCCAAGGCAGTATAGTTAATACTCATTAGCTGTTTAGCATAGATAGATACCACTTATTTTCTATACTTTAAGCTACTTAAATTTATATTAGTCCATTTTGTTTTCTTGCAAAAAAAAAGAAACAGCTGAGGCTAGGTAATTTGTAAAGAAAGGTTTATTTAGCTCACCATTTTGGAGGCGTGAAGTCTAAGATGATAAGGTGGCCCCAACATTTTGGTCTCTGGTGAGGCCTCCCTTTGACTAGGTTGCAACATGGCAGACATCATGATGGCAGGATACATAGAAGAAGAAACATCACATAAAGGCAGGAAGCCAGAAAGTGACAGGGGTAAGTCTTAATCTCCTACAGCAACCCTCTTACAAGAACTGACCAAGGTCCCATAAGAAATACATTAACTCTTTCCAAGAGAAGTTGCCCACAATAACCTGATTAACTTTCACTAAGATTCCACCATCTCTTAATCCACCACTTTGAGGACCAAGCTTCCAACACTTGGGCCCTTGGGAGCATGAACCACATCCAAGCCATAACAGAGGGGAAAGCATTGAACTCTAAAATTGGTTTAAAGCAGTGGTTCTCAACGGTGGCTGCACATTAGATTCACCTGGGACACTTATAAAACAATTCCATTGATTAGCCTGTACCCTGGAAGCAAACAAACCAAAATCTCTGGCGTAAGACCCAAGCGTACTTTTTTTAAGACTCCCCAGGTGATTTCAATATATGGCCAAGATTAAGAACCTTTGGCTCAAAAATTTAAATTTGTCATCACAATTATACAGGGTACCACCTTCATGCCCTCCCCACTATAATGAAGAGTACAGAATCATACTTGATCCTTCACATAAAATTTCCAGAATGAAATTGGGATCTCAGGTAAGACATTTTCTAAGTGGAAAAATAAGGCTCCTATGCAGGAGTTCCCTGGGAAAATAATAGAGGTTTTCCATACTGATTTTTATAGTGCTGTTTATTTGGATCACAAAGGGAGTTAGAATAGGACAACACTCGACATTATTAAGCTCCTGTGGCATGCGCCTCTTGCCAATACATCCAACTACCAAAACAAAAAGACACAGGAAGAATATTTTGTTAAAACTCCATGGTGCTATAATTATTCCACGTTTGGGTTTTAACACCTGAATCCTGGCTCTTATATAATAGTAATAATAGTAATAAATGTCACCCAGACAGTGGGGCTTTCTACCACATTTCAATTCCATTTTCAGGGAGTGTCTACAAGGATAAAAGCTTTCTCTCTGGGGGAGACTTGCAGAAAGATAAAATTTTGGGTCCGTCACTGCATCTATCCATCAGTCTGTCATTGGGTTGTAAGGTACTAATTTATCACTCCATTATTCTTTCCTTTTCCTGCAGACAGAGTTGCTACTGAGGTTCTCAGTGTGGTCTTTTAGACAGAAATAAAACTATCCATTTCTGAGTAAAGGGTTTTATTGTATTCTCTTGATGAGACTGAGAAGTTTGGGATTCTAGCCCGTAGGAGAGAAAGACTGGCAGCGCCAAAAACATTAGTTTGCACCTGTAGGAAGGGTTTATATTCATCCTGCCAAACAGACATGACCTTGCACTTATCCTTCCAGCTTTATGACTTTATTACTAACTCTAGCCCACTGAAGAAGCATCCCATTCTCAGACCACTTGCCATAAAGGTCATCTTCTCATGTTTAATTTGTGTGTACTGCAGGTGGGTGTGAGCAATGCTCATGGTGGTTATGAAGATGAGTTCTCGATCAGGCAGGCGTTGTGTTAGACTGCTAGGCATGTCATAAAAGAGCTCATGACCTGAGGGGCTTAAATAACAGAAATTGATTGTCTCACAGTTCCAGAGGTAAGAAATCCAGAGAGAGAAGGAGGGAGAGAGAGAAAAACAGAAAGAGAGAGAGAGAGACACAGAGACAGAGGGACAGGGAGACTGAGGATGCTAGTGTCTCTTCTTTTAAAGTCATCAGTCCTACCGGATTTAGGGCCCACCCTGATAGCCTTATTGAACCTTAATTACCTCCCTGAAGGACATATATCCAAACAGAGTTATCTTAAGGATTAAAGCTTCAACATACAAATTTTGTGAGAATATAACTCAGCCCATAACAGGTTCCATCCCAGCTATATTGACACAGGGGAAAGAAACTCCCAACCTGCTAGATATCTGGTATGAGATTGTGTTCTCTAAAATTGAAGAATGAATTTTAGGAGTAATGGATGTTAAGAGCAGAATATATTTATTAGGGGAAAGAAAGCTTCCTTTTTAAGGGATTTTTATAGAGCAAATCCATGAGGTGAGGTGGGTCTCAGGTTGGAAACATGGGAACTCCCAAGGCAGGCATGAAGTGGGATAAAACTATGGTCAACCAATAAGATTACAAGCATAATTGCTCTGGTAAAATCTATTAAATCAGGATCAAATGGGGAAGTGACTCACACAGCAAGCAGAAATGAACACAGTACAGAATAGGGGATTTTCCTGTAGGAGATCGGCTTAGTGACCTTCCTGGCTTTTTCAAGGGGATCAGATACCTGTTTAGAATAACAATCCCTGATGTCCATCCCTAGGGAGGTATGTGGGTACATTTGTTTCATTTTTTGTCTTGAGGTCTGGCTCACAGTGAAAGTGCCTGTCTCGCCCACAGTTGCAAGGTATCTTGTTTTCCACACTGGTCCTTTGAGGGCCTAGCCCAGTCTGACTGCCTACAATATTTCTATCTAATTCAGCTACCTACAAAAATACCATTGAGTGTGTGACTCTGGGAAAGTGATTCAGTCTCTCCGACCTCACATTCTTCATCCTGTCAAATGCAGATAATAATATCAACTCCTAGGATCATTTGGACGATTAAATGAGATGACACTTGTAAAGAGATTACCAGCGTCCCCTATGGAGTAAGCACAGAAGGAAAGAAAAAGGCAGCTTTCATTTAGTTTGGCAACAATAGTTCAGGGAACAGCAGACTCAGAAAAGTGGTGAGGTCAATTAGGTTGTATTTTAAAGGTCACCTATCTCATCATCTGATAATTTCTCTTTGCCCTGATCCACTACAGAAACCCCTCAGACCCAGCCTCTCTCCTCCAGGCTGAACTTGAATTTGACATCTGCTTCATCCATTATCCTGCCAGCAAAGGGCCTATTCTCAATAGGGCACACTGGGCTTTGGAGTCTGTGAGGCCTGAGTTCAAATCTCAGCTCTCTTGCTCACTAGCAATGTGACAGGACACAAGGCACTTATTCTCTCTGTTCAGTGACCTTAGGCCACCATAAATGAAATACTGTAGGCTGACTGGTTTCAAGATCTGGTGTTTATTTCTCACCAATCTGGAAGCTTTGTTACTGGGTTTAGGGTGCTAAGAGTCTCCTGCTGGAGGTGGTTTCTAGGTTCCTTCTGATCAAAAAGTTGGTCAAGACAAGCACAAATGGTAGCAAAGTTTTATGGAAGGTAGCAAAATAAATAGCCTGTGCAGAGCAAGTTTGGGCCAAAGAAAAGTTGGAAAAAAATATACCATACAGTGTGAGGGTGCCCATCCATGTAAGAGAACAGAGGCAAACACTCAATGGCAACTGTCCTTCTTGTAATACCTGGTCCTCAAGCTGATGGCAGATCTAGGGCATCCTGTGAAAAACCTGCTCAAAGTCCATGTGCAGGGATTTGGGAACTGTTCTGAGCATATGTTCTGGGATCTTGTGATTGACAGGTCATGCCTACTTCCCCAGCCAGCTTTGCCACATTCTAATCTCCTGCCACAGTTTGAGATCCAAGTGTCACAGATTTCATTTCTTGGGAGAACCTGCTGGTTTGTAGACAGTCACCTTCATATTATGTTTTCACAAGGTGGAGGAAAAGGAAGTTTTGGTCTCTTCCTTCTCTGGTAAGGACACTGATCCCATCTTCAGGGCCCCACCCTGATAGCCTATTTTCAAGCTAATCACCTCCAAAAGGCCCCCTCCTCCAAATGACATCACAATGGGGTTAGGGATTTATCAGCTGAATTCAGGAGGATACAAACACTCCACACCTCTCTGAGCCTATATTTATCAGGACTCTCAGTTGCAAGTGACAGAGAACCAAATCAGAAATGACAAGGGAATCTGTTGATTTGCAGACCTAAAACTCCAGGTATCTTCTATCTTTTCAGGTGTGACGAGAGCAAAGGCTCAAGTGATAATAGCTGGAACCATTCTCTCTGTTTTCACCTCTCTTATTTGGTGTTGGTTTTATCTCCAGAAGGAAAAAGTGGCCCTTTTTCCCTCTAGGCTTACATTCTGCTGTCTTAGCCCCTCAAGTCCAAAGAAGATAGTGCTTTCCTAAATCTTCAACAGTTTGCACAAGTCTGTCTCTCACTGGTCTTATATGTCAGTCCCTGAATCAATCACAGTAGCCAGAGGCTAGAATTTTCAGATTGGCTTGCTCTAAAGTGAGAACCAAGAAAGCAGCAGTCCCACCTGAGCTCTTGCTGATTACGGGAAGGGTGAGGGGTGTTGGATAAGAAAACAAAGTACAACAAATAAGTATAACAATAAGTACAACAAAGCCTCAGTCCCCACCACAGTGTGTCCACCTCTTAATTTAAAATGGGAAAATGATCACAAAGTTTTCAACACTACTATAAAAACAGAATTAAATAAAAGACACTGGTGCTAAAGTATTGTGCAAGTGTGCATGAGTGTGTGTGTGTGTGCGCGCGCACACACACACACACACACATTCCTGTACTCCAATAGGGTCTGCCCTTGACCTCCCCCTTCCCCCCTACCATGAGAATCACACATCTTCTGACACAGTCTCAATCTCCACGGCAGGTGGAAATGATCCGGGCAATCTGGTTCAGGCATACTGGCCCTCCTGAGGCAAATACAAATTACTGGGACCTCAAGAAGGGTGATTAACTCTTCCAAAGAGACAAATCTAGGGTCTTCCCAGAGGAAGAGAGCAGTGCTCATAAAAGCATTGCTCCTAAAGAGGAAGCCCTTAGGGTCTCAGGAATTCCCCCATTGAAATGCAAATGACCCTAGGATGGGCTTTACCTTAAACACCAGTTAATAGCTCAGCAGTTAGTAAAGCCTCAGGAATTATCTGGCCTGGGACAACTGTGGACCTGGAGGGCAGAGAGAAAAGAAGGCAGATAAGGTGATGGCAGAGAAAGGAGACCACGTCTAAATTGTTTCATTTTTCCTTGGGCCCTGTTTCCACTTGGCCTCAACCAAATGTAGGCTAATAAGCCATTTAAAAGAGTAATTGCAGCTGCAATTTGAAGAACTTAGCGGGGTGGTTGTTAAGACATGAGGCCAGGGTGAAGGAATAAAGGCTTGAAGAATAAACAAACAAATGAGTAACAAACATTTGTCATGTGCCAGGCTCAGGACTAGGTACTTCAAAAGCATGATTTTACATAATTCCAGCTCCTACAGTATGGCCTTGGGCAGATCTCATCACCCCATTTCTTTTTCAGCCAAAACATGTAATACACGGCATGCACCAGTTATGTTTTCACATGTATTAATTCATTTAAGCTTCATAATAGAGCTATAACACATTATTTTCATTTCTATTTTACAAATAAGAACACTGGGACTCAGAAAGGTTAAGTAACTTGCCCAAGATGGCACAGCCAGGAACTGAAGGAGCCAAGACTTAATATAAGGAAAGTCCTCGCTTATAACAAGCTTCTACATTGCCTCCTAACGTTATCGGGGAGCTACCTTATCCGGTAGCTTGCTTCTAAAAAGTGGCTCGCCAACTAAACGTTACTGGGTTTGGGGTTGCTTGCCTCTTCTTCCAGAGTTGGATGACAGGTTCTTCTTGTCTTAAACAAAGACCTGAACAACATAGCAAAAAGCAGTGGCAAAGTTTATTCCAGAAAGTAAAAGTGAAGAGTGGTAGAGAAACTGGCTCTGCGGAGCGAGCTTGAGCCAGTGAAGACAAAAAATGGGTAAAGGCAAAGATAAAAGCACACACTGCATCTGGGAAACACAGCAGGGCTACGGTAACAAAGTCCCCATACCCACCATGTGTCCAGGAAACCCAGAAGATCTTCTATATGAACTGGTCCTGAGAGGTAGTGCTTGGAATCCATAACTCAGGTGGAGGTCAGGTTTAGGCCATCCTATTGAAAACTTGCTTCAGTTCTCGCGAGAAGTTCACGTGCAGGGCTTTGAGAACTGTTCTGCGCATGTGTCCCAGATCTTGTAGTTAACAGATCACACCTACTAAGTGCAGGTAGCTTTTGCCACGTCCTAATCTCCTATCTCACTAATACTGAGCTCAACAAACAATAAATGCTCAATAACATTACTGCTATTTCTCTGTGCCAACAGAAAGATACTGATAATAGAAGAGTATTTTTATCGTTATTACTATCGTAATTGAAAGATTCAACAAAGATTTTCATCTTGGAAAATAAAAATAATAAATGAGAGCTGAACGTGGAGGTGCACACCCATAATCCCAGCTACCTGTAAAGCTGAAGCTGCTACCTGCAAGGCTGAGGATAACAAGTTCAGGGTCAGCCTGGGCAGTATAGGAAGTTCTGTTTTCTAATTTAAAACGGGAGGAGGCCGGAGATGTAGCTCAGTGATCCCTGGGTTCAACCCCAGTACCACAAGAAGCATTTTTATTGTTTAAAACACATAAGTAAAAAGAACCAAGTGTGGTAAACAGCCAGTTACTGAGAGGCTGAGGCAGGAAGATCACAAATTCAAGGCCAACCTGGGCAACTTAGCAAGACTCTATCTCAAAATTTTTATCAATGTATGTTTGTGATACATAATACTTCCATTCACTTTGGAGAATATGTATATCATGATCTTTTTCCCTCCTACTCCATCCCTTCTCCCCTCACTAGATCTCCTTCCTCACATCAAAAGTCTACCAACTTCATTTATTTCATTCTTTAAATTATCCACGTTTGGTTTCTCATATAAGAGAAACCATGTAGTATTTAACCTTCTGTGTCTGATTTATTTTTTTTTTATTTTAAAGAGAGTAGAAAATGAGAAACAAAGAAATAGAACAGTAACAGCATACCAGTATCACAAACATAAACAAAGCAAGAACATTCAAATTGATACAGAGTCTCAACTCTGATTTATATCACTAAATATTATAGTCTCAAGACCCATTCATTTGCCTACAAATGACGCAAATTTATTCTTCTTCCTAGCTGAGTAATAACTTCACTGTGTACACAAACGATATTTTTCTTATTTGTTCATCTATTGATGGGTGTATAGGATGTTTCCATAATTTAGCTATTGTGAATTACACTGCTATAAACATGGATATGCATATGTCATTGTAATATGATTATTTTAATCCTTTCAGGAAGATACCCAGAAGAGGTATAGCTGGGTCAAATAGAATTTTTTTAATGATTTTTTGAGACAGGGTCTCGCCATGTAGTTTAGCCTGGTCTTGAACTCACACTGTAGCCCAAGCTGTCCTCAGAACTCTTGCCAATCCTTCTGCCTCAGCCTCCCAAGTGTTAGGATTATAGATGTATACTATCATGCTCAACTGTCAAGTAGAATTTCTAATTTTAGTTTTTTTGAGGAATCTCCATGCTGATTTCCATAGTGGTTGAACTAGTTTACTTTCTTAGCAAATCCTCACCAGCATTTGTTTTTTGAATTCTTGTTGATAGTCATTCATACTGCAATAAGGTAGAATCTCAGAGTTGCTTTGATTTGTATTTCCCAAATGGCCAAAGACCTAAGCATTTTTTCATGCACTTGTTGGCCATTTGTACTTCTTCTTTTGAGAAATGTTTATTCATTTATTGATTGGACCTTTGGGGTTTTGGTATATAATTATTTTTCATTCCTTATACATTCTAGCTACTAGTCTCCTATCAAAAAAATTTTTTTGAGGCTGACAAAATGAATTTCTCATTCTATAGGTTGTCTCTTTACCCTGTTGGTTTCTTCCTTTGCTATGCAGAAGCTTTTTAATTTTGTATGACCCCCCCTTTGTTGGTTCTTGAAGCTATTTCTTGTGCAATTGGAGTTCTTGTTCAGGAAGTTCTTACCTATGTGTTCCAGTGTTTTTCCTATTTTATTTTCCAGTAGATTCAGTGTTTCTGTTTTAGTACCTAGGTTTTTTGTCCATTCTGATTTGATTTTGGTGCAGAATGAGAGGTATGGGTCTAGATTCATTCTGCATGCGGATAACCAATTTTCTCAGTATCATTTGTTAAAGAGGCTACCTTTTCTCCAGCATTTGCTCTGGATCCTTTTGTCAAAGATCAGATGGCTAAAGTTACTTGGGGTTGCTTCTGGGTCTTCTAATTTATTTCATTGGTCCACATGTCTGTTTTGTGCCAGTGCCATTTTACTTTTATTGCTGTAGCTTTGCAGTATAACTTGAAACTCAGGACTGTAATGTCTCTTGCTTTGCTCTTTTCGCTTAGGACTGCTTTTTCTATTCTGATTCTCATTAAGTTCCATGTAAAGTTTAGGGTTGTTTTTTTCTAGTCCTGTGAAGAATGTTGGTATTTTGATTGCAACTGCATTAAATCTGTGTATCACTTTTAGTAATATGGCAATTTTGACAATATTGATTCTTTTTATCCAGAAATAGTTGATGTCTTCCTGTTTTCTGATAGCCTCTTCAATCACTTTCATCACCATTTCCATGACAGAGTCATTCATCTCCTTCGTTAGGTTGATTCCTAGGTATTTAATTTGGAGGAGAGCCCCCATGTTTGGGATTGTTTTCCTGATTTCCTTCTCAGTAGATTTAAAAATAATAAGAAGAAGGACCCAGGTACAGTGGCATATAGCTGTGTTCTCAACACTCTGGGAGGCTAAAGCAAAAAAACTGTAAGTTTGAACCCAACCTGAGTAACTTAGAGACTTAATGAGACTGTATCTCAAAATAGAAAATAAAAAGGAGTTCGGGATGTAGCTCAGTGTGAGGCTCGGGGTTTAATAGTGTATAATGAATAATAGGTTCCCCGGAAAGAGGGCTTCTGGCACACAGGGAGCCATGGGTGGGGAGTGCCAGTCTTCCAGCTGGCTAGCTTCCTGCCTGGTGGCTCCCGGAGACTGGGCC